AATAATTACCTGTACTATGCTGGGGGGGGGTTCCTTATTCTAAGTTTAGGGTTTAGGGTTTAGGTATTGAATATTGGGTAGTATAGTATACCCCAAAAACTTATTCTAATGATTAAGGCCCCTACATCATTATGCAGGTGACGAAGCCTTCTGTGGTTCTTCTGAGCCCTTCGAAGCGCTGCTGGCTTGGCAGCTTCACTGCACTGAGAGGGTTTAGTGTTTCGGTTCGATGGTTCAGGGTTTTTGGTGGAGAGGAGTTGGCGATTCAAGACTCTGCAATACTTGTTGTTCTTCTGGTTGGTTCTTAGGACTTTAACTTTTTGGGCTTCTATATGAACTAAAAAAAGGAGGCTAAAAGCTTAACTTTCAGGAGGGGTTCAGAAGTCAGCCAAGAATATCACAGTTTCCAGAAATCTGGTTTCTACCTCAACCTTTCAAGGCCCTCAGCCCCGGCCCTGTCCCTTCTAGCCAAGTCGTAGAGGTTTAGGGTTCAGGGTGCGTCACATTGAAGAGTGACAATTTTTGAATAAGGGATCCCAAACCTTCGACTGCTTTCCCCCAAAAAGGCCCCTATATACTTATATGAGGGGAACGACTTACCCAATGAATACTCAATCCTACCATGGAAGCTCCACTTTCGACCATAAACGTACTTGGAAATAGCCCTAAACCCTAAGTCCCAAACCCCCACCCCTAAACCGTAAGTCCCAAACCCCTAAACCCTAAACCCTAAGTCCCAAACCCTAAAGCCCCAAACCCTAGACCCTAAACCCTAAACCCCAAGTCCCAAACCCTAAACCCTAAACCCTAATTCCCAAAGCCCTAAACCTTCCAACCCTAAGCCCTAAACCCTAACTTCCCAAACCCTAAGCCCTAAACCTCCCAGCCCCTAAAGCCTAAACCCTGCTTCCCAAACCCTAAGCCAACTTAGGGCCCTTCGGGTTTCCTTCACTGAGAACCTAAGGCTTCTAAAACGAATCCCAGACAGGAGGGTTGAGGGTTTGGGGTTTAGGGCTTAGGGTTTAGGGCTTAGGGTTTAGGGTTTAGGGCTTAGGAGGATGTACTGCTGGAGTTCCCTATGCTTTACTTTACCTTAAGGCCATGAGGGCTAGCATGTTCCGACTTTATGGCTTCTACTATAGGGTTTGTAGTTTCGGGTTTAGGATGTAGTGGCTTGGGGAATTAGGTCTTGGGGATATAGATTTCAGGACTGCAGGGAAGGGTTTAGGGTGAGGGTTTGGGGTTTGGAGGCTCTTCAGTACGCGGCTTCTTCTGTGCTCGCTAAGTGTATCCAGTTTACTTTCTGCGAAACCCTAAACCCGTTTCAGATGCAATAAGCATCGTTGGGTGCCGACATATGGCAGGCGGATCAAAGCAAAGTCATCCCAACTTAAACCAAAAAACCTAAACCCCAAACTCCTAAACCCCCAACCCCTGAACCTCTAACCCCTAAACCCCTAAACCCCTAAACCCCTAAAGCCTGAACCGGTCATATGGGCTCCGGTACTTAGGAGCGTTTCGGTCTGAAAGACTTGGGTTTAGGGTTTAGGGGTTAGGGCTTCAGAGGCCGGAGGTGGTTTAGGGTGCATAGGGTTTTGGGGGTTCGGGGGTATAGGGTTTAGGGTTTGGGGTTTAGCGTTTATGGTATAGGGGATTGCCTTAGGATTTAGGGTTTAGGTTTTAGGGGTTTAGGGTTTAGGGTTTAGGGCGGCGGTTTTCTAGGTAGTATTAGGGAGACCCCTCAAAAGCGGACCCTTCTTAATCCCACTTCTGGCGCTCTTACAAGGGACCTTATTGAGAGGGTCCATATCCCCAAGGGTCCCCTCATCCTAACTGCCAGGTTTAGGGTGTATAGGGTGTGACGGTTTAAGGTTTGTGGTTTAGGGCTTTGGGGGTTTAGGGGTTTAGGGGAGCTTGTGGTTTAAGCGTTTCGGGGTTTGGGGCTTTATGGGTTTAGGGCTTTAGGGGTCTAGGCTCTAGGGTTTTAGCGTTATCCCGGAATGTTCGATGGCTCAGTGCCCCTATATGAATATGTAGTCACAAGCACCCACACAACGTGGTTGGGTGGTGGGCAGCACAAGCAGATTCAACTATGAGCACCTACAAAGAGCCGGACAGCGTAGGTCCTTCCACTCCAGGCCCTGAACCCTAAGCCCACTACTATGGTTCTACCCCAATACTCTAGACCCTACCTGCCCTAAGCCTTGCCCTATAAACCCTATTAAACACCAGTTACACCCCGACGGAACATAAACGCCAAAAACCTAAACCCCGAACTTCAAGCCCTAAACCCTAGACCCTAAACTGCACCGTTTAGGGTTTAGGGTTTATAGGGCTTTAAACATCCTTAAACGCTACACCCTAAGCCCTAAAAGCGAAGCCAGAAATCTCACACATCAGCACCCCAGAGCAGCTGTAGCTCTCTCAGCTCCCGATTCGTATTCGGCACCGATGAACAGTGAGTCTCTACCTCTACCAACCAACAGCTACTTTTCTGCAGGGTTTAGGATTTAGGGTTTAGGGTTTAGGGTTTAGGGTTTTATTAATAGGGATTACAGTAAGGACCTACACGGTTAAGCTATCTACATGTCTCCGGAGCCTCTCAGCACAGGTTGGAACGTTTCGAGCCAAATCAACAGTTGCTTGGCAGTCCGAGATTCATCGTTGGTGTGGTGGGTCTAGGGTTCAAGGTTGGGGGTTCCGGTCTTCGGATTTCCAGGATGTATACCCTAAACCCTAAACCCTGAACCCTAAACCCTAAACCCTAAACCCTGAACCCTAAACCCTAAACCCTAAACCCTAAAGCCCTAAACCCTAAACCCTAAACCCTGAGCCCATGAGGGTTAAGAATTTGTTCGGTTTAGGGCTTAGGGTTTAGGGTTTAGGGTTCAGGGTTTAGGGTTTAGGGTTTAGGGTTTAGGGCTTTAGGGCTTAGGGCTTAGGGTTTAGGGTTTAGGGCTTTAGGGTTCGGTTTAGGGTTTA